CAGGAAGAGGATGGTGTCTACCACGTTCTCCACCTCTGTGGGCAGGGTGGGGTTCAGGACGTGGTTGAAAGGTGCTGCCCTTCATCTTTCCCTCCCACCCCTCACCTGAGCAAGCCACTGATGCAACTCCCAGCTGGGCTCCCACCTGACTCACCGGCAAACTTGCCAAGCGGGATGCGATCCAGCATGGTCTTGGCCTTCTGGGGGTCGCTCCAGTTGGCCTGGCCCATGGGTGTCATCACCACTGTGGGGTTGAGTGCATTCACACGGATCTGTACTGGAACAAGAAGGGGGTCAGCTGGGTGGGCTGAGGCTCTCTGGGCACGTGGGCTGGGTGATGGGAAGGCATCCCAGTGGGGCTCACCTGGTGTGGCCCAAGCTCCAGAGCCATTACCTTGGTCAGCATGTCCAAGGCACCCTTGGTGGAGCCTGTGAGGAGAGACAGCCTGTGTGGAGCCTGAGCTGGCTGCTCAGGCTGGGGTGGGGTGGGGGGGCAGGGCACAGCCGGGACTTGCTCACAGTAGACGCTGTGGTTAGTCAGTGCGCGCTGGGAGGCCTGGCTAGAGACATTCACGATGGACCCCGGGGCTCCCCGAGCTATTAAGCCTCGGGCCACGATCTGGAATTGCAGAGGAAGCATGAGGCAGAACTGGTGTCACCCCCCCGTTCCCACTCCTGCCCTGAAGGCAGCTCACCTGGGACACCTGGATGACAGCCCGAAGGTTCACGTCGAAAGACCTGGAAGCAGATGGATAGACCGTGGTCAGGGACTGGGACTGCTACAGCAGGAGACAGCCCTTCCCACCAGGAGTTCCTCCACCCCACCCTGGCTCACGTGTCACACGCCTCCTTGGTGACCTCCAGGAAGGGCTGCAGCAGCGCCACGGCAGCATTGTTCACCAGCAGGTCCACAGGGCCCACGCCGCCCAGCGCTCGCTCCGTGGCCTCCCAGTCACCCAGGTCCACACATACAGGCTCTACCCCAGGGCACTGTATTAGGTGGTAAGGCGGCACATCTACCAGAGGATCCATGCCCAAGAAAGGGTACAGCTGGGCCTCTGGCATGCGAGGGAGAAGGGCTGGGTTTGCATGGCCTTTCAGTTCGACAGGGGGAGGGGTTAGGGGTCCCAGAGGAGCCAGTCACCTTCTTGGGGCTCAGAATCCCAGGCTGCTGCAGGGGGAGGGTAGTTAACTCGGCCTCTAGGCCACTGGGCAACTCGGGGCTTCGGGAACGGGAGCCTGGCCCCGCCTCCGGCCAGTCTATTTCCTCCCAGCGCCCTAACGCGTCTTGCCCCGGACCTGCAAGGCAGCCATTTCTGCCTGCTCCTAAGCCCAGGGGTAGTCGTCGTTCTCCCGACCCGTCGGCCCCCAACAGAGGCCGTGCGCCCGGCGTGGGGGAGGCTGTACAAGAGTCCTTGGAGAACCCTAGCGCCCGGCGGCCGTGTGTCCCGGCCCGCCCTCAGCCTCGCCCGCCGCCCGCTGGGCTGGGACAAGGCGACGCTTACCTCGCGGACCAGGCTGTCCAGGTCGGCCTGGGTCCGGCTCACAGCCACCACTTGTGCACCCGCCGCGTGCAGCGCCTGAACAGTGCTGCGCCCGATGCCTGCGAGGAGCGCGGCTCAGTGCGGGCGCCCTTCCCCGGCCACCCCCTCCCAGGCCCACCTTTGGCCGCCGCCCCGGGCCCACCTTTGCCCGCCCCAGTGACGAGCGCCCGGCGCCCCGCTAGGTTCGGCTCCATGAGGATCTGACCGGCCCTATGCACTGCGCACTGCTGAGGCCCAACTGCGTGCCTGGGTCCAGCTGCGCGCGATTGTCCGGGAGGGCGCGGGGCGGGGCGGGACGCGGCGGGCCAATTGCAGGGCGGTGTCCTGGGGAGGGAGGGAATATTCAAATAGCGGCTTCCCCGCGGGGGCGATTGGCCGAAAGGAATGGGCGAGGCCGGGGCGGGGCAGGCTGGGTCCCCGCTGGACTCTTGGGCGGGGTTTTTCAAACTGCCCTGTTGTGACCCTTCGACCCGGAGTGAAATAGGTTTAGGGGGCCCCGCTAGCATATTTCCCCTGCCAAGATGATTATTACAAAAAAACAGATGTGGTCATTAATACGTGAAATTAATACGTGGTAATTAATACGTAATTATACGTAGCTGTACGTGAAGGAGATCTCAGTCAGGGCTAACATTTTTTTTGCTGTACGCAGGCCTCTCACTGTTGCGGCCCCTCCCATTGCAGAGCACAGGCTCCGGACATGCAGGCTCAGCAGCCATGGCTCATGGGCCCAGCCACTCCGCGGCACGCAGGATCCTCCTGGACCGGGGCACGAACCTGTGTCCCCTGTATCGGCAGGCGGACTCTCAACCACTGCGCCACCAGGGAAGCCCAATATTTTTTTCTTTTGTTTCTGAGAAGAAAAGTTTGGCAAAAAGGATCACATGCTCCCCTCCCCCAGACCTGGGAGTAGCTCACGCAGGCTCACTTGTGCTTAGAGGGAAAGGGTTTGGACAACCCAATAAGCCTGAAGAAGAGGCCAAGGCCAGCAAATGTGTGCTTTAGCCTCAAAGGGAGTTGAAACGCTGACCCACCCGACCAACCCACAGAAGGCCATCAGGACTTTAAAAACTTGGATAGGATGGGAAGGGATAGGCTTAGGGTCATGAGGTACCCAGTGGCCAGCAAGGGCAAGCATTGCTTCCTGCAGCTTTAGGGTCAGAGATATATGTGTGCTCACCTGTCCATGTGTGCATTGGCTCCTCCTGTAAAAGCTACTTTGTTCTGTGGGTCATGGTGGGAAAGTCTAGAAACACTGCCCTTGAGGACCTTCTGTGGACAGGAGTAAGGAAGTGGTGATTGCAGGGCCTCTGGGTCACTGTGGCTTTGGGCCCAGAGAGGTGGACAGTCTGGAGGAGACGGTGGCTGGGGACAGCAGGAGGCACAGGTTTGAGAAGCCCCTGGAGGATAGCCAAGTGAGTCCTCCCTACCAGATCTGGCGCTGTGGTGCAGCCGACACCCTCTAGGCACTGGGCAAACCCTGCCTTCTGCTGCTAACCTTGGACCCTGCCGTCCGCCTGCCAGAAGCCAAGGGGAGGGGGGGAACAGCCCCCAGCCTGTCCTTCCTGAAAGGGACATCTGCTTAGGTCCCTTCACTGTCTTTACCTGGCCCCCAGAATGGTGTTCAAATCCTTTCACTTGCCCCGTGATCCTCAGTGGACCAGCTGGACTGAGCCAAGCCTGCTTTGGCACAAACCTTGCTCTGGGAGGCCCTGAGGCTGGCTAGAAGTGCCCTCAGCACTCCCCATCCCTGCAACGTGCCCTTTGCTCTCTCAGCCCAGTGGTACCATTGCCTGGAGGGCCCCACCCCAGCCCCTCATGCCTTGCCCCCTTGCCCAGAGTTGGACACTGCACCAGTCCAGCTGACTGACCACCTCAGGCCTCATCACACCCACACTCAGAAGGCATG